CTATTTATTTATTTATTTTATTTTATTTTATTTTATAGAGAAAACTCTCCTTGTCTTTTAAAGAAACTGAACAAGGATCCAAAACCTTTACCTTCAGTTTTCTCAAAACAGCATTTTTCAGGATAGCCCCCTTGTGCTTAAAAGCGACCAGTTTTCAAGATAACCCCAGACGTTCTGTGGTACATTCTTGAAAATCACATTTAAGAAAGCTTCAAAATATTAGAATCAAACTCAGTCCGTTTTCGTGAATGGCAATGAGTATTACCACTGCACCATAGTCATCGTTACGTATTCATTGATCAAAATCTATCAATTGAATCTGACTTGCACTACGCGCCCATACGACCTTATGCTGCAGTTGCAATCGCCGTTGCAAAACGTTTACCAAACACTAACTTAAACTCTCAATGTATGACGTTAGAATCCATGCTCATTGGTAAAATTGTTTTATGAATGATCCGTTGGAGTCGTGTCAGGTTTGATAGTAGCGCTGGACAATGGCCCTGAAATAATGTTCGTGGACGCTGACCCTGGCCACTAACTGCACGCTACATCGGCCTTTTGGCAAAGATCAAAGTGTGGTATGGTCGATTTTAAGCACAAAGGGACTGTCCCGAAAGAAAAATGCTGTTTTGAGAAAATCGAAGGTAAAGTTGTTGCCCCTTGTTCAGTTCCATTAAAAGACAAGGAGAGTTTTCTCTACAACCAAGCAAATATAGATCTACCCAGCAATGAAACCAAACTTCTAGTTAGGGCAATGCCCACTTTTGGTGCAGGTCAAGATTTCTGGAAACCCTCGAAATCTGGGTTAGCCCGCTTGTCCTTAAAAGCGACCGTATCTGTTCCCGACCTTCCAGCCTTGGGCTGAGTACAAAGCGGGACTGATATAATCTGAAGCTGTAGCCTTGGCTTCTATTATTAGATCTAGATCTAATGGATAGTAACGTCCTCTTTAAATAAAAACAAAAAACACTGCACACTATTTCAAGTTTATCTCTGCTTTGTTTCATTACTTTTTACCCTGAAATCCATAACCTCGTACTGCATTAGTCCTTTTGTTTTGTTGTTTTTTTTTCAATGTAGATGCCTTTAGGCCTCAGTTAACACAATCAAGATCATTTAGGATGCGGGCTTTTGATCCTTCCTGTGAGGGCCAACCCGGGCTGAGAGGGATACAACATTCCAGCAGAAGGACTCAGATACTCTCCAAAAATATTCACCCTACTTGGGAATCGAACTCGGGTCTCCTGCGTGCGACAGCGAAGCGTCAAACCGTTACACCTCAGATTTGATGCCACGATGCATAGAAGCCTTTTTATTGGCTGTTGGTCACAATTTCATCAAACTAGAACCGACTGTGACCTAGATCATCCAACGTGTTTCACTTTGGAGGGTTTAATCATTGAGCCAAACATGGTAGCTGAGTAAAAC